AAGCGCCCAGCACAGACCAGGTGCTGTGCCTTGCAGCATCAGGAGTGAGGAGGCAGCGGAAAAGGATGACCTAACAGCAGCTAAATTTAGACAGATGCCAGTGGAGTGAGAACATTTCCCCTGTGGTCACAGTGTTTACATAGTGAGCAAGGTCCCAGGTCATCCAGCAACCCGCAGCACTCGCTCTACCTGATGGGATCTGGCAAACACCTGGGAAGCCGCCGAGCATCGCACAGCCAGCTCCCGAGTTGCACGGCAGATGAGCAGGACCAGCCCGCCCTGCCCTTCTGCTGCACCCTCACGGCAGGGCTCAGGAGGCCAGGACCAGTGGGCGGCCAATATACCCTGCTTCTGCTGGGCCAGGGTGAGCTGGGAGCCCTGGGACCCCAGGCCCCGCCAGGCGTGGGTGAGGTCAGGGAGTCTGCTGCAGGAGTGACTCAGGAGCTGCGGGACAGGAGGAATATGGTGCAAGAGCCTCCCTGAATCAGCCGGCTGCCGAAACCACCCTCTCCCCACACCTACAGCTGGTGGGAGGATGACGCTTCATGCCCAGACCCTGCCCCGTGCCATGCGTGGGAGGTGTTCCCAGCCCCAACACACTCTGGAGCACACGTCCTCATGTCCCAGTGAGATACCTCCAAGCAGCACTGGTCGAGGCAGAGCCACACCAGCAGCTCAGGACCAGCTCCACTGACAGCAGAGCAGAAGGGAAGGTCATCAAGCCACTGCCCACGCCATAAGACATCCCCACCCCTGCTCCATAAGGGGAGAAAAAGGTCACCTACTCACCTGCCTGGAGGTCCATCTCCTGGCACCCAGCGCTGTCCTGCAGGAGCTGCTCACAGCCAGCCCAGTGTGTGCTGGAGCCTGGCACGTCCTGCCCGTCCCTTCCTCTCTTGGTGACACAGCCGCCTACCACCCGTTCTGCAGTGAGGCTGGGCACCACTCCTCGCCTGCCGGTTCAACTGGTTCCCAGGGGAGAAAGCAGAAGAGCTCCAACAGATATCACTCCTCATGGATGGACAGCCACCACCTGTGCCCCAGGACAGCTGCTCCCAACCCAGCCCAGCCTCCCCAGCCGCTCGGGGCAGGCATGA